TAAGGGAGGGGGTGGGGGCAGGGGGGAGAAATGAACCAAGCCTTGTATGCACATATGAATAATAAAAGAAAAATGAAAAAAAAAAAAAAAAAGACGACAAGGCTCCACTGGTCTTCGGTTGATGCCCCGCTTCCTGGAGCCCCGCCCCTGGGAGGTGCTTCCCCATTTGTGGCTAGTCATAGCCCCGCCCCGGGACTCCCCCCTGACAGCCATACTTTGCAGAGAGCGGCTACGTGAGGTTGCTGGAACAGCTGAACCCTGTACAAATCGCTGAGCTCCACCGGAGCCGGATACTGCAGGTGTTGTTCGAGTCCTACCCGCCGCCCACTGTTTTGTGGTTTAAGGACAACCGCACACTGGGCGACTCCAGTGCTGGCGAGATCATCCTGTCCACGCGCAATGTGTCTGAGACCTGGTGAGCAGCCTCTAGCCCACTCCACTTATGAAGCTTTGCAGCTGCCAGGCAGCCCAAGGTCTTCAGACGCCCGAAAAACCTATTTCTGAGACCCCACTGTGTGTCAGGCACCTTGCCAGCTGATGGGGATGCTTCGGGGAACAGGGCAAACCAGAGCGTTTCACCCCTCCTAGAGTTTCTGGTATAGTGGGGAAACATGACACTGGTGGAAAGATCACATAGGTGTTCAGTTATCATTTTGATGAGTGGAACCAGCAGGTGGCAGCCAAAAGAAAAAGGCTTGGATGAAGAGAAGGTGCCCAGAGGGCTACTCACTGCCATCCGTGGTACCCCTGAGGCTAGAAGTTCTACTACCAACAGAGACTGTGCTGTTAAGACTAAGCACATCAGACCCCTCTAACAAGGATGACATACGGAGGGAGAGAAATAGGATCCCTCAATTCCTCCCAAACCTTCCTCTGGCTCAATGGAACTGCTTATAGGTGGGGATTCAAGACACTGGGTTTGAATTCTGGCTCTACTAGGACTCAAGGTCACTAAGTGACCTTGGCAAAGCCCCTTCCCCTCCCCGAGCCTTGCTTTTTGTCTGTACAGGAAGGTGGGAAGGGCTGTGAGTTCTCCAGCTCTGACCACTGGCCCTCCTGGCCTGTCCTGCTCTCTAGGTACGTGTCAGAACTGACACTGGTGCGGGTGAAGGTGGCAGAGGCTGGCTATTACACCATGCGGGCCTTCCATGAGGATGCTGAACTCCAGGTCTCCTTCAAGCTGCAGGTCAATGGTGAGGATCACCTCCCTTCCTCTTTCCATTCCCTCTCTCCCCCGACAGTCCACCTACCCATGAGAGTTGCTGGAGAGGGAGCCTAGAACCAAGGAAGCTAGGTTCTAGGCCACTGACCTGACATTTCCCCTCTCTGGGCATCAGTTTCCCCAGCTGTAGAAGGTCATCAGACTACACTTGATTCCAAAAACCTCAGGTATTCATGTACCAATGCCACAATTATTTCCTTTTTCACATACCATTTATACTGTGCTATTAATTCAATAGGTATTTATTGAGCAATTATAATATCTCAGTCTGTTCAGAGTTCTTGAGGCCCTGCCTTTGTGCAGTTTGCAACCTATTGGGGAAAGACAAACACTGGACAGGAGGGAAACCTGTAAATGACAGGTTAGAAGGTAACAGGGCTGGGCATATGGTGGCGGGGGACTAGTAAGGGTTGCACTCTTAAATACGGTGATCAGGGTTGGCCTCACTGGGGTTGACTTCATCATGGAGGTGACATTTGTGAGATCACTTGAAGAAGATGAGGGCATTCGGTAAGTGGCTATTTGGGGAGAGGGTACCTAGGCAGTGCAAAGGCCAGAGCAATGGCAGAAAGGTCTATGTGGGGGTTGGCAAGTGGTAGACTGCTTGGATTTAAACCCTAGTACCTCCAGAAAAGAAGGAAGGAAGGAAGGAAGGGGGGAAGGAAGGAAGGAAGGAAGGAAGGAAGGAAGGAAGGAAGGAAGGAAGGGGGGAAGGAGGGAAGGAGGAGAGAGGGAGAAAGAAAGAAAAAAAAGGTAGGTCTGTGTGATGCCACCAGAGGGAGGGGGAACACAGGGAGGGGAGAGTGGTGGGGAACGAGGTCAATGTGGAGGTGGGGTGTGGGAGTAGAAGACGGCAGATGTGGGGGCCTGGCGTAACCTTGACTTGATGACTGAATTGAAGGGCCCTCTCAGAGACTTGAACATAGGAATGACATGATAATGACTTAATGTTTTGTCAAGTACATTTCCAAAAATAAATTTATTTGGAAAGACAAAACTGAACCTTTCAATTGTAAGTGGAAAATCAGCATCACATGCCATAAATATAAAGCAGCCACTAAAATAAACCCAGAGAAAAGTAAATAATGCTATTAAATTCCAGCTTCTGAGCTTGAAGCCTACCCTCTTTTTGTTAAAAGGAAAGATTAGCAAGTCTTAAGAGTTGTTAAAAACAGACTAGCATCCTACTGAGGCTTTCCCTTTGAAGTACCCCAAGGGGAATCTGTCACTTTTCATCCTGTGGTTCCTGGTGTTTAGGGTTTACCTGCAGTCTGCAGCCTGCTCCTGAGAGGTGACCGTGGGGTAGGTCCTCTCCAGGGCCTTTCCTGTTGACTGTTCTAACCTCCTTGCCTCCTGACCATCTCCATGCAGTCCCTGTTCGTGTGCTGGAGCTGAGCGAGAGCCACCCTGCCAATGGAGAACAGACGGTCCGATGTCGTGGCAGGGGCATGCCCCAGCCAAATGTCACCTGGTCTACCTGCAGAGACCTTAAAAGGTGAGCAGACCCTGTGCCTCGGTTTTCTAGGGAACTCACAGCTGGCTAGGAGGACCCAGTGAAGCAGGTTGTTGTAGTTTAGGGTCACATTCTAGAAAACCAACCCACTACCTCCTTGGAGATGCTCTGAATGACCTAAATTGTTCCTTTTCCTTACCTTGACTTCTGGGCCACCTCGGTCCACCACAATGTAGAATCTGTGCCCCCATAGAGACCTCAGCCACCAAGTAGATGTTCTGTGTCCCTAACCAGGGCTGGTTCTAGTGTAGTGGATAGTGGTAGGGCTGAATTCAGGTTCTGCCTCTATCCCTGACAAACTGTGAATTTAAGGCCTGCAATGAGAGGCATGGATTTTGCAATTCAGAATTCTCAGTTCTGGAATCGGAGTGCCCCCTGCTGGTCATTCAAGGGAACACAAAAGAAACTGGGCTGAAGACCAGGCAATGGGAGGTCACAGGAACTGGACATGCCCTGCTTCCTTCCATCACCACTCCATTATACTGCCTGCTGTTGGCCTCAGTTTCCCCTAGCTGTAGTAGTAGGAGGCAGCAAGACAATCGCCCAGTCTTTCCTTGCAGGTGTCCTCGTGAGCTGCCACCCACTCCATTGGGGAACAATTCCAAGGAGGAGAGCCAGCTGGAGACTAATGTGACGTACTTGGTGGAGGAGCAGGAATATGAGGTGGTGAGCACGCTGCATCTGCGCCATGTGGATCAGCCACTGTCGGTGCGCTGCACGGTGCACAGCACACTGGGCCAGGACGTGCAGGAGGTCACTGTGGTGCCGCATGGTGAGTCCCCCAGCTGCAGGTGACCCTGATGACCTCTCAACTCTGCCTTGACCCTGCCATACTTGGGACTGAGCTCATATGCCCATAGCAGGTCAAGTCAGCATGCCTATAGGCACACAGGAGCATTTTAAAATCCATCAGGGTATGTTCCTATGTACATACACAACACATAATATGTACTAACACGTGTACTAACTGCAGTCTATAAACCATGGGTGTGAACAGCACTACCTGCTTATGTGTAGCAAATGTAAATGCTAGGTGTGTCTTATGTCATAAGCCCTGACCATGATCAGGCCAGATCCTGGGACACAGGTCTAAACTGTCCATGTGTGGATTTGTAAACCGTGTGCTAAAGAATGCCTAATCCCCAGATGCACGAGTAAAGCATATACTCACCATGCACAATGCCCATCCATATGTGTAAAACCACAGAATGTGTATTTGTAAGCTGTGCCCTGAGCATGCCCAGCCCCCAGTCTTATAGATAAACCCACAGAATGTATGTCTGCATGCATGTACATGTGGGTGCACAATCCTCACATGTATATAAACAACACTTGTACAGTTCTTGTGCAAATTGGCAGAGTGCATGTCTGTAAACATGTACTTGTAACACACCTTTCTGGAAATGTATGTGAATAAACATTGTACACATATGCTGGCCATACAATAAGTGTCTCTTGTAGGCACACATAAATGTACAAATCTTGCACATAGGAACACTGCCTATCAATGCCCAGACACCTTTGCATGTCTAACTACCCATTTTTGTGTGTGCTTGCACCTGTATGCATGTTCTTCATTTATTCGCCTGTTTTCTTATTCAGTAGATAGTTATGAGGACCCAACTTCTCACTGGGGTATAGAGGACAATGGGCAGAGCCCCATATGCCCTCAGTCCAGAAAGAGAAGGCAGATAAGTAACCAGATCATCCTACTTGAGATTACTACTTTGGGGGGAAGCCCCAGGAGGGAGTAGAGGCTCCATACCCAGCTGAGGGATCAAGGAAAATGCCCCAGAAAATGGGACCTTTAGGTCAATACCCAAAACAGAACAAGGAGTTAGCCTGGTAAGAACAGTGATCCAGTCAGAGGGAGTGGCTTGTGCAAAAGCCCAGAGGCAAGGTGGGTTCCAGAAGAAATTAAAGAAAGTCAACCTGGCTGCAGCTTAGAGTGTGTGTGGATTTAGGGATTTAGAATAGGGAAGATTAAGAGGAAGGAAATATAAGGAATGGGGATATAGGGTAAGCAGAAGCCAGAGCAAGCAGGGCCCCAAAGGCCAAATGAGGTATTCTATACACACTTTTATGTACATTGAGGCAGGGGTAACAAAGGTCTGGCCAGGGCTGGCTGGGGTGGGAGTGTGCAGCAAAGAGGCCAAGGCCCTGGAGTGAAGACTTGGGGGTTGGGAGGCCCAGTTGGCCCTACATGCTCACCCCAGTGCTCTGAGGGATGCACTTCCTATATCTCATCAGTGTCCATCCCAGCTGGGCCCCAAGGTGGGACTGGGAAGGAAGCAGCCTCCTTTCTGAGTCTGGATTCATCAGGCCTTGGAATCTCAATGTGTGGCTCCCTCAGTGGTCAGTCACACAGCATATTGACCATTGTCAGGCATGGAACTTTAAGCTCTGACTTAGATGTGACAGACCAATAAAGGCATGCACTCAGAGAAAAGGAGAACCATGGCCTGACTCAGAATGTGTGGTCTTGTGGGAGATCCAAGCAATGGACAGGACCCAAAAGAGACTGGGCACCGCCTAGAACTACAGCAGAAAGGCCAGACTGTGGTGGAGTGTTCAGCCTCCAGGAGCTGTCTGTCAGCTATAGATGTTTACTGCCAAGTGGGGCTGAGAGTTCTAAGTACAGGACCAAGGAATCATGTGATCTCCTCCAGATGCCTCTCTCCCACAGGATGATGAACTATTAGGCAGGGTCTGAAAGCACTGAGACCTGCAGGCAGAGTGCCTGAGTCCCTCAGTTCTCTACCACCAGTGCAGAACTCAATGCTGTGCTTCTTTCACTATTGAATGCATCCAGGGACACCCCTAGGCTTGCATGATTACAGCCTCTGGGGACACAAACTGGGGTCTGTGCAGCAAGAAAGAACCTTCTTTCCCACTGACTACAAAGCTCCATGTGGCCAGAACAGCAGCTTCCAGTACACAAAGAAGGGAAGCCTCTAAGCTGAAAGCACCACAGAAGTGGATAACTGACCTTAACTGGTCCTGCCCTCAACCTGCATATAGCACCAACTTGTACATTAGAAACTATGAGAGGCTTATGCTAGTTTTCTTCTATCTGAACGGTGTTGGAGATCAGGCCTGGTACCCTGAGCACATTGGAGAAGTTTGGCTACTGAGTTATCCCCCAGTCCAGTGATGAGAAACTACACCTCAACCCTGCCATTACACAGTCCTTCCTGAACATTGAGAACACTTCATCTGCAAGCTACAGGTGATTAAAACTTTCAATCAATGACTTGGCCTCAGATGTACAAATCCCAATGCAGAAGCACAAGATATGATAAATGACATAACTACAAGGCAACATGACAACCCCACAGTAATGGGCACTAAGCATAGTGAAGGGGATGAAATCCCAAAGAATTCAAGAGAATGATTGTAAGAATGATCAATGAAATTAAGGAGGATAAATATAAACACCTGGATAAATTCAAATAAACAGCTGAATGGAGTAAGGAAGATAACACAGGGTATGAACGAGGAATTCAGTAAGATACAGAAATCCTGAGGAACATCAGACTGATGATGTTCTTGAAATGAAAAACCCAATAAGTCAAACAAAAAACTCAGTTGAAATTCTCCCCAGTAGACTAGATCAACTGAAGACAGAATATCAAAGCCTGAAGACAAGGTAGATATATTAGAACATGCATATAAAGATTAAAAAAAAGAAGTACAAACAGAACATTTAAGATCTTTGGCACACCATTAAGATCAAATCTGTAAATCATGGGTGTAGAAGAAAGAAAAGGGGTGCAAGTTAAAGGCATAGAAAATATACTCAATAAAATAATAGAAAATTCTCTAAATCTTGGAAAAGAGAGTCATCTGGGGACAGAAGGCTTTTAGGACACCCAACAGACAAGATCAGAAATATGCAAAGCATATTATAGTTATTACATTAAATATGCTTGACTACTATAACATTTAAGAAACTTATCCATTCTGAGTTTGTTTCCTTACTGTTAACACTACAGTGTGACTACTCCAGAGCCAGAATTAACTTTGAATACCAGATATACCACTTATTATCTGAGTGTGCTTGAATAAATTATCTAATCTCTCAGTTTCCTCAACTATAATACAGGGTCAATGTCCAGACCTACTCCAAAGAACAAGAAAAGAACATTGAAAGCTGCAAGAAAGAGGCATCAAGTCACATAAAAGACAAACCCATTGGAATAAGAGCAGATTTCTCAACAGAAACTCTAAAAGCAAGGCGGGCATGGACTGATGTATTTCAAGTCCTGATACAAAATAACTGCCAAGCTAGATTACTTTATTTAGTAAAGCTATCTTTCATAATTGAAGAGAAATAAAAACTTTCCAAGATAAACAAAAAAACTGAAGGAATTTATGACCACTAAGCCAAGACTGCAGAAGACACTTGAAGGAATCCTACACAGAGAAGAGGAAGATAAACACAACCAGGAAAATGCAGGAAAGAATAAATCTCACTAGATGAGTAGATAAATGAAGATTAGAAAGACTCAAACATTGCAAGGACAACAAAATGACAGGAATACCTTTCAATAATAACTCTGAATGTTAATGATCTCAATTCTCCAATCAAAAGATATAGACTGGTAGGTTGGATTAAAAAAACAAGGCCTAAACTGGGTGCTAGTGGCTCATGTCTATAGTCCTAGCTACTTGGGAGGAAGAGATCAGGAGGATCAAGATTCAAAGCCAGTCCCAGAAAATAATTCGTGAGACCCTACCTTGAAAACACCCAACACAAAACAGGGCTGGTGGAGTGGCTCAAGTGCTAGAGTACCTGCCTGGCTGGTGTGAGATCCTGAATTCAAAGCCAGTACCACCACTACAAAAAAAAAAAAAAAAAGACATTTATTGCCTACAAGAAATTCACCTCACTGGCAAAGACAAATTCAGACTTAAAATTAAAGGATGGAAAAAGATATTTCAAGCAAATGGAGCCTGGAATCAAGAAAGAGTAGCTGTACTCATGTCTAACAAAGCAGATTTCAAACTAAAATTAGAAGAGACAAAAAAGGTCACTTCACAGTGATAAAAGGAACAATCCATCAAGAGGATATAATAATTGTAAACATATATGCACTAAATGTTGGCACAGTGAGTTTTCATTTAAAAAAACATAAAAGTGCAGATAGACCCCAATGCAGTAAGAGTAGGTGATTTCCCACTCCTATAAACAGGTCATCCAGACCAAAAAAATTAACAAAGAAACCTCAAAATTAAACAACATTGTAGATCAAATGGACTTAACAGACATCTACATAATATTCCACCCAACAGCTGCAAAATATACTTCTTCTCAGAAGCCCATGGAACTGTCTCCAAAATAAATTGTATTTTAGGACATAAAGCAAGTCTTTAAAATTAGCTAAAAAATTAAAATAAACTCCTGTATTTTATCAGACCACAATGGAATAAAACTAGAAATCAATAACAAAAGAAACTACAGAAAATATTTAAACATGTGGAGACTGAACGACACACTGCCGAATGAAAAGTGGGTCATTGAAGAAATAAAGGGGAAATAAAAATTCCTAGCATCAAATGTAAATGAAAAAAAAAAAACTTGCCAAAACCTTTGGAACACAGAAAAGGCAGTGTTAAGAGGAAAGTTTATACCTATTAGTACCTATATTAAAAAATCAGAGAGTGGGGACTGGAGGTGTGATTCAAATGATAGAGTGCCTGCCTAGCAAGCACAAGGCCCTGAATTCAAACCCCAGTATCACCCCCTCCCCAAAAAATCACAGAGCTCTCAAATAAATAATGATGCACTTCAAGCTTATAGGAAAACAAAAACAAGCCAAGTCCCAAATAAATAATAAAGATCAGGGGCAGAAATTAATGAAATGGAGACTAAAAGTATAACACAAGGAATCAATGAAATAAAAAGTTGGTTGTTTGAAAAGATAAATAATATTGACAAATCCCTAGCCAAGCCAACCAAAAAAAAAGGGGGCAGGAGGCAGGGCAGGAAGACAGGTAGAGTGGCTCGTGCCTGTAATCCCAGAATCTTGGAAGGTGGAAGAGATAGGATAGATCATGGTTTGAGTCTAGTTTGTGCATAAAGTTAGTGAGATTCCATCTCAATGAATAGTTGGGCAAGGTAGAGGCCATGTATCGTTTCAGTGACTTGGGAGGCATGAACAGAAGGATCGCAGTCCAGGACAGCCATGGACAAAACACAAGATTCTCTCCCTAAATAACTAAAGCAAAAGAGCTGGGGCGTGGCTCAAGTGGTAGAGCATGCCCAGCAAATGCAAGGGCCTGAGTTCAACCCCCTAGTTCCACAAAGAGAGAGAGAGGAAGAGAGGGAGGGAGGAAGGGAGAGAGAGAGAGAGATTTTCTCTGGAAAATCTAGAAGAAATGGATAAATTTCTAGATGCATTTGACGTACCTAAATTGACCCAAGATAATATCAACTACTTAAACAGATCTAAACAAGCAATGAGATTGAGCACTAATAAAGAGTCTTCCAACAAAGAAGAGCCCAGGACTGGAGGGATTTACTGCTGAATTCTACCAGATCTTTAAGGAAGAACTAACACCAACGCTCTTCAAAATATTCCATAAAGTGGAAAGGAAAGGAATGCTACCAAACTCCTTCTATGAAATAAATATTGCCCTAATACTAAAACCATAGAAGGACTCAACAATAACAAAAAGAAAATTATACACCAACTTCCTTGTTAAACATACATGTAAAAATTCTCAATAAAATACTTACAAACCAATCTCAACAACACATTAAAAAGATCAAACACTATTATCAAGTTGGTTTCATTACAAGAATGCAAGGATGGTTCAACATATGCACATCAATAAATGTAAGACAGCCCATAAGCAGAATAAAGGACAAAAACCACATGACCATCTCAATAGATGCAGAAAAAGCCTTTGACAAAATCCAGCACCCCTTGGTGATAAACGCTCTGAAGAAACTGGGACTAGAAAGAATGTACCTCAACAATAAAGTCTGGATATGACAAACCCGTAGCCAACATTGTACTAAATGAAGAAAACCTGAAACTATTTCCTCTAAAGTCAGGAATGAGACAAGACTGTCCACTCTCTCCACTTTAATTCTTAACCAGAATTGAATTCTTAACCAGAGCAATAAGGCAAGAGAAAAAAATAAAAGGCAAAAAATAAGAACAGAAGAAGTCAGATTATTTCTATTTACAGATCCTATACTTAAAAACCCTAAAGACTCCACCAAAAACCGCTTGCAGCTGATAAACATTTTTGATAAAACATCAGGATACAAAATCAACATACAAAAACCAGCAGCTTTTATATAGACCACAACAAACAGACTGAGAAAGAACAGAAAAACAATCCCATTCACAACAGCTTCAAAAATATACCTAAGAATAAACTTAACCATCAGAAAAAAGACCTCTACAATAAACCATAAAACATCGAAGAAGGAAACTAAAGAAGACACTAGAAGATGGAAAGACTCCCGTGTTCAAAATTGGCAGAATGAATATTGGCTATACTACTGAAAGCAATCCTACAGATTCAATGCAATCCTCATCAAAATCTCAATGTCATTCTCCACAAAAAAAGAAAAATCAATTCTATATATCATATGGAAACATAAAAGACCCGAAATAGCCAAAGCAATCCTGAACAAAAAGAGTAATGCTGGAGGTTTCACAATACCTAACTTCAAATTATACTACAGAACCACAGTGACAAAAACATGACAGGGAACAGGGGCAGTGGCTCATACCTGTAATTTCAGCTACTCAGGAGGTAGACATCCAGAGAATTACAGTTCAAGGCTAGCACGGGCAGAAAGTTAGCAAGATCTCATTTCAACAAACAAGCTGGAGGGCTGAAAGCTTAGCTCAAGTGGTGGAGTGCCTGCCTTGCAAGCATGAAGCCCTGAGTTCAAACCCAAGTATTGTCCAAAAAAAAAAAAATCAACAAATGGGGCATGGTGGTTCACACCTGTCATGTTAGGTATGGGAGGGTATAGGTAGGAGAATTGGTGTCCCGTGACAGCCCTGGCAAAAAGCACAAGACTCTATTTGAAAAATGACTAAAGCGAAAAAGGGCTGGGGTCCTGGTTCAGGTGGTAGAGCTCTTCCCCAGCAAGCACAAAGTTCTGAGTTCAAACCCCAATACCACAAAAACAGAGAGAGAGAGTGAAAGAAATAAAAAATACAACATAGACTAATGGAGTGGAATAGAAAACCCAGAAATCCACACAGCTACAGCCATCTCATTTTTGACAAAAGAGTCAAAAACATATGTTCGAGAAAAGACAGCCTCTTCAATAATTGATTTTGGGGTAATTGCATATCTTACATGCAGAAGGTTGAAACTAGAGCCCTGTCTCTCACCTTCTACAAAAATCAATTCAACATGGATCAAAGGCCTTAATGTAAGACCTGAAACTTTGAAACACCTAGGGGAAAACACATGGAGTGCTCTTGACAATATCTGCATAGGCAACTTCTTTCTGAATAGGACTTCGATTGCTCAGGAAATAAAGAGCAAAAATTGACAAATAGGATTGAATCAAATTTAAAAGCCTTTGCACAGCAAAGGAAATGATTAACAGAATCAAGAGATGACCCACAGAACTGGAGAAAATCTTTGAAAGCTATTCATCAAATAAAGGATTAATATCCAGAATATGTCAAGAGCTCAAAAAATAAATACCAAAAGAAGAAATAATTGATAAATGGGTAAACAAATTGAACACCATTCTCAAAAGATGTACAAATTGCTAATAAATACATGAAGGAATGTTTAACATTCTTTGCCATAAAGGAAGTACAAATCAAAAAGACACTGAGATTCCATCTCACCCCAGTCAGAATGGCTATCATCAAGAAACAAACAAGGTTTGGAGGTATGCTTCAAGTGGTAGAGTGCATGCCTAGCAAGCATAAGGCTCTGTGTTCAAACCCCAGTGCCACCCAAACCAAGAAAACAACAATAAATACTGGAAAATACGTGAGATGGGGTGGGGGGGAAAGAACCATTATACACTGTTGGTGAGAATGTAAATTAGTGAAGCCAGTATGGAAACCAACGTGGAGGTTCCTCAAAAAGCTAAAATATTCCAAGGAATGTAAGTCAGCATACAACACAGACACCTGCACACCTATGTTTATAACAGCATTATTCACAATAGCCAAGCTATGGAATCAGCCTAGGTACCCATCAACAGATGAATGGATAAAGAAAATGAGGTATTAGATACACAATGGCGTACTATTCTGCAATAAAAAAGAATGGAATTATGTTGTTTGCAGGAAAATGGATGGAACTGGAGATCATCATATTGAGCAAATTAAGCCAAACTCAGAAAAACAATTATGACATGTTTTCACTCAAAAGCGTCTGCATAGAAGCTTCTGTTTTTAGACCAAAATAATGGTAACAATACATGTGTAAAAGAGGGACTGTTAGAAAGAGAAAAACCAGCACGAGGTGGGTGGGGAGGAGAAAGTGACGGGAGTGGATGTGATCAAAGTGCTTTATATGCGTGTATGAAAATAGCATAAGGAAACCCACTAAAAACTTTAGAAGAGGGGAAGGAGGAGAGTTTAAAAAAAAGTAAAAAAGATGTGAGTTTGATCAAAGCACATTATATATATGTATGGGAAAAAAAATCACAATGAAACCCCTTTATATAATTAATTTAAGCTAATTTTTAAAAAAAATTTTAAAAAGAAAGGCACTGAGCCTATAATCCTAGCTACTTGGGAGATTGACAGCGGGAATATCACAGTTTGTGGCCAGTCCAGGCATAGTTTGAGTGGCTTCATCTCCAAAATAACAAGACCAAAGATGGACTGGAGGTGTGGCTCAAGTGGTAGAGCACCTGCTTTGCAAGCATGAAGCCCTGAGTTCAGTACCACTGAAAAAAGAGAGAGAAAGGCAAGCCCGCCCTAGCAAGTGCTAAAGGGATGTGGAGGCTGGCAATGATCAGAGCTGGGGGTCATTATTGAGGGACACGGGATTTACAGGAAAGGCCAAAGGTGAGGGCCAGAGCAAGAGGTTGAGGCTCTGATACCATAAGCCATTGGGTGGTTAGGGTCTTCCATTCTGGGTAGGATGGGAGTTGTGAGGTCTGCAGTATTAGCGGGGAGAACAGCTGCCTAGTGCCCCATTTGCTTATGGCCTGTTCTTGTCTTTGTCCCCAGCTCTCCCCTTCAAGGTGGTGGTGATCTCAGCCATCCTGGCCCTAGTGGTTCTCACAATCATCTCTCTCATCATCCTTATCATGCTTTGGCAGAAGGTAAGCCCATTTGGCCAGTGGGTCTTTGCAGAGACCCCTCTCTGCTCCTGAATGCTGCCCAATGCTGGCCCATGCAGAGCCCAGCTCAGATGGGAACGATGTAGAGTAAAACTGTGTCCCCAGTGGACTCTACCCCCAGCAGCCTGGGCTGGCCTGGGCCTGGTCCAAGCAGTCCGGGATTCCTGGCCCCTGCTTTGTCCTCCATCCCAGGATCTGTTCATCCAGTCACAGGGTAGGGCTGCTGGGGAATGGACCACATCCATCTCTTATCCACTGACTTGTCTATGATTCACTGAAATGCAATCTGGCCCTATTAATCTGTAATTTCAATATCCTGGTCTGAGATTTCACCATTTTGTAGTTTCAGAAATTTTAAATTACAGAATTAGGGTTGCAGTATTCCATGATTCTATCTTTCTAAAATTAAAATCCTGTGACTCCAGCATCCTAACATTCTGGAAATTACATCCTTCTGAGATTCCCACGGTGACTGATCCAGCATGGGGAGGGACCTCTAACATCCAGCAGTGTCCTGTCTCATGTCACTTTCCAGGGCTGCTTGCTCCTCTTACTCCTCAGCCTGTGGAGTCCTGACTTTTCCTCTGCCACCCACTCCCCTTCCTGGAGCCCCCTGGTGCCTGTGCCCTCTGAGCCTATGAAGGTCTTGGCTCAGTTGGTCATTTGCTGTGTGACTTTGGATATGCTCCTGCTCATCTCTGGTCCTCAGGGTCTCCTGCCCCATCTGTCCTATGAAGGGCTAGACCTGGTGGGCTTTCAAGGCCAAAGGCGCCCTCTGACGATTGTTCATCTTGGTCTTGTAGAAGCCGCGCTATGAGATCCGATGGAAGGTGATTGAGTCTGTGAGCTCCGATGGCCATGAGTACATCTATGTAGACCCCATGCAGCTGCCCTACGACTCCACCTGGGAGCTGCCGAGGGACCAGCTTGTGCTGGGTCAGTCCTGGGAGGCCTGGAGTGGCAGTTTAGGGATTCCAGGTGGTGGGAAGACTGTTTGAGGCGGGGGCCTGGCTATGACTAGCTATGAGGCCTAGGGCTGGTGTCTGCCATCTCTGGTCCCCAGTTTCCCCTCTGTACAAGGACAAGATAACCCTAGGTACTGCCTAGCATTGTGGCCTATAATCCTGAAATGGGTCCCTTTGTGGTAAGGAAGGAAGTATTGAGGACAGACTAAGTGTGGCTTAGTCTAACTGGGGAGGCTAAGTGTATGCAAAAGATATGTGGAGAGGAAAGGAGGAAGCCTTCAGGGGCTGAAGATGGGCACACAGCAAGCAGGACTTAGATGAAATACCTAGAGATCTAGGAATAATTGTGGTATAGGAGCCTCCTGGAGAAAGCACATAAGTCCAGAGTGGCTTGTGGAGGCTGAGATAAGAGAGTAGCTCTTCCTACCCTGTCTGGGAAGGGAGCATGAAGCTCCCTGGTGAGCCAGAAGCTCAGGGATCCTCTCTACCCCAGGACGCACCCTTGGCTCCGGGGCCTTCGGGCAGGTGGTGGAGGCCACAGCTCATGGTTTGAGCCATTCACAGGCCACCATGAAAGTGGCTGTGAAGATGCTGAAATGTAAGTCCTGGGAACCTGCCCCACCCTACCCTTGTCCCTGGGACCCCCACCTCTACCCTGCACACTCGGTTCTCCCTGGGCAGTTGGGTCCTGATGCACCAGGCACAGATATGCTATCAGGTTGGGAAGGGGAGCTCTTCACCCTGGCCTACTCCACCCACCTCCCTCCTCCTCAGAGTGTGGTCCTCATGGCCCTAAGCCATATGGGTCTTCCAGCACAGGGTGGGAAAAGGAGCCAGAACTGGATCTCGTGGGGCCTCTGTGGAGCCTCAGTGATCCCCCTGGCCTGACTCCCCCTTCTCCTCAGCTACGGCCCGCAGCAGTGAGAAGCAAGCCCTCATGTCAGAGCTGAAAATCATGAGTCACCTCGGACCCCACCTGAACGTGGTCAACCTGCTGGGGGCCTGCACCAAAGGAGGTACCCAGCCTACTCCCTAAGAACCCTGGGAAAATGCCTGGCCCCTCCCCAACCAATCTTCTGTCCACAAACAACAGGACACCCCACCTGGGGTCTATGACCCCAGTGACCTACTTCACAGTTCCAGATGGGTTCAATTTTAGAAACTCACAGAGCCACAGCACTTTCACACCCAAAGGACTCTCAAGGCTACTAGTCCCAGCAGTTTCCAAGTCAAAATATCCTCCGATATTTTTGTATTTTCCTAATACATTTTGAAAATGGTAATAAATAACTTGTCCCATAGCACTGAGATGAGCCAGGCACCCCCAACTTAGACCGTCACCATAACTGGGAGCCGCTTTCATTCCCATCATAAAAGAAAGTCATTCTGCCCAACTCTGTTTATTTGAAACTCTGATTGTAAGTTGGGCTGCAAAAAAAAAGTTACTGCCATTCATAGCTGCTTATTGTAAGATTTGGGATTTTCCTCAGTATTGTGCAACCAAATCAAAATACAGAAGTACATTGTGTACATAGCTCACTCCGTGTCTGCAGTGATCACTCATGTCAGGTTTTGTTTTTATCAGTATTTTCAAGCTCCCATGGGTTGGCTCTAAGTAAATGCACTAAATTTGAATTTAACCAGTAAACTGATAATAATAAACAATTGTCTTTAGCTACTTTATATATGCTGGTTTCCAAAATAAGCCTGAGTTTGAAAACATAGCAATAACAGCTATCACTGAGTGCTTATCACAGGCCATACCAACAAAGGCATGGTCCTATGAGTCCTTGTGGTGGTCGTTCTTAGCACCACTTACCCCATGAAGAGAGGTGGAGACTAAGAACCTTGCTTGCAGCCACATAGGCAGAAAGAGAACCCAGGTTTGCAAGGCGCTGACCCTCTTACCCATCTTGCCAACTACCTCTCCACACCTAGCTTGTTCATTGCCCTGATGGGAAGCCTGCAGCCTTCCAGGGACTGTCCCTGAACCTGTTCCTCCACAGGACCCATCTACATCATCACTGAGTACTGCCGCTATGGCGACCTGGTGGACTACCTGCACCGCAACAAGCACACCTTCCTGCATCATCACTCTGACAAGCGCCGCCCGACCAGCACCGAGCTCTACAGCAACGCACTGCCCATGGGGCTCCCTCTGCCCAGGTACCCAGAGGGAAGCAGGCATCTGCCAAGCACCTGCACTGCGCCCTCCTTGTCCAAGAGGGGAGGCTGAGGTCACGTGGGCAAAGCCGGGACTCTTTCACAAGTTAGTGTACCCTAGATCCAAGAATGGCAGTAACGATGATGATAGTAGTGGCTTCGGCTGCCACCTGGCAACTTTCCAGTGTACCAGGCCCTGTGCCAAGCCCTCTGCAGATGTGACACCCTGCACACCCTCCCTGTGTCATGGATGTCTTGCTCTCCCAACCCAGGGACAATAAGGGGCAGAGATAACGGCGACCTGAGAGCCAGGCTCCTGACCAGCTCTGAGGCACTGCAAATGCTGGTTTCTGCTGCTTCTTCCCCATGCCCTCAACATCAGGCTCCTCACACTCCCTCTGGCTACCTTAACTGCCATTTTCCTATGTGTCCAAAAGGAACATTGCTTTCTTTCTTTTTTTTTTTTTGGCAGTACTGAGGCTTGAACTCAGGGCCTCACACTTGCTAGGCAGGTACTCTTACCGCTTGAGTCACTCCATCAACCAAAAGGAACATTTCTTAGTTCTGGTGCTGATTGCAAAAGCAAAGGCAAAAGTAATGTCAAAAAAAAGTGTTCAAAAACCCACCCCTGTTCTCTTCAGCATTCTGACTTCTCCCGTCTCTTTCCTACCCATAGAGACACACATGTATGTAACCGACAGCCCTCAGAGCTCAGACCAAGGGGCTTTCTTGTCCACACTGGCCTGTGCTGGACTCTGCTTGATAGTGCTAGAGAGGCCCCAGAAAGGGGTGCTTCCATCTGTGACTCGTCCTGGGTAATATAATCGCCTCTGGGGCATGAACTCCCTGAGGACACATACGGGGTCTCATGTCATCTTGGCAGCCCCAGTGCCCAGATAAGGGTCACACAGGTTAGTTGATAGGTCTCAAGCTGTAGTGATTCACATTACAACTAACTGAGGATGATGATTGAGTGAGTGAGTGAGTGAGTGAGTGAGTTCCACGAGTGGCAGGACTTCACAGGCTCCAGGGTAAGCAAGGGGTAAGGGGGGGAAGAGAAGAAAAGCCTGTGGCATTTACTATTGTGTTCCTCTCACCCCCAGCCCTGTGTCCCTGTCTGGGGAGAGTGACGGTGGCTACATGGACATGAGTAAGGATGAGTCAGTGGACTATGTGCCCATGCTGGACATGAAAGGAGACGTCAAATATGCAGACATCGAGTCCTCCAACTACATGGCTCCTTACGATAACTACGTCCCCTCTGGTAAGTGGAAAGTGTCTGCATGGGCTCACACCAGTGCAGTGATTCATTCTTTTTAAAGCCCTTCCATGACAGCCTTGCAGCAACCCTGGGAGGAAGGTACCCATTTCCCTGATGTGGAAACTGAGGCTGGCCACTTTCACAAAGCTGCTGTGCAGTGGAACCTTGACATGGATCCCTATGTATGGGTCCAGAGGCATGCACACAGCCTGCAGGGAGGTGAGAATGTGGGTGGAGTGGGAACTTCCTGGCTCCTGGGACCTGGAGGAAAATGACTGATCAAGCTGCAGCAGGCTAGCTGAGTGTCCTGAGAAACATGCAGGCAAGGTTAAGCTAATGACCCTGGGCTAATGCCAAAAGTTTTTCTGGTAAAGTAGAAGAGGTTCAGGTTAGACACTAAAAAAATCATTCTCCTTTCAGAGGGAACCTAGAGGATCAGTAACTGCCCGTGTGGGACACTCAGCCCCTCATCAGTCAAAGCCAGGGATCCTCTGGGCTATGGTACACAAGAGACCCCTGACCCTCTGCTCTCCCCTAGCCCCTGAGAGGACCTATCGGGCAACTTTGATCAATGAGTCCCCTGTGCTCAGCTACACGGACCTCGTGGGCTTCAGCTACCAAGTGGCCAATGGCATGGAGTTCCTGGCCTCCAAGAATGTATGTGTGGTCCTGGCAGGGCAGGGTGGGGCCGAGGGAGGTGTGATACCCAGCTAGCCAGAGTCCTCCATGTGCACAGCCATGTACGAGGACTACCTCTCTGGTGGGTGGGGCGGAGGGATAGTAAGCACCCTAATACCTGCTCCCTTGAACGGAGGGTCTTTCCCTACAATTGGCCCTTGGCTCCCCTCTCCCCCAACCCAGTGCGTCCACCGAGACCTGGCAGCCAGGAACGTGCTCATCTGCGAGGGCAAGCTGGTCAAGATCTGTGACTTTGGCCTGGCTCGAGACATCGTGCGGGACTCCAACTACATCTCCAAAGGCAGCGTGAGTCCCTTCCCCGGCCCCATGGCGATGTCCCAGGAACAGGTTCCCCTCACCAGCATGGCCATAACTCATAAGAGATTAGTCCCAGGCCCCTGGTGGCCTGTCCTGCCCAGCAGAGGTGGTCAGTGCTACCCAGCTGTGAACAGGGACAGCACAGCACTTGGCTGTGCATAGATTGGGAAGAGGCAGAGATGTTCAAGCTCACTTGTCACAGCAGGGGTCAAGGGACCAGCTGCATTGGGTCCATGGCAGGTAGGATACAAGGCAAACCTGTTGTTCTGGAGTGGTAGACAGAGGAAGAAGTCCAGGTGACATGATAAGACAGATGAGTTGGTCACAGGCAGTGGTTGGGATTGGTTGGGTTAAAATGTGACCATCCTGGGCTGGTGGAGTGGCTCAAGTGGTAGAGTGCCTGCCTAGCAAGCATGAGGCCTTGAGTTCAAACCCCATACTGCAAAAACAGACTTATCTTGCCTCTACCTATCTCTGCACTTTCCAGTGAGCCCAGCCTTGGAGAGGGTCCAGATCCTATAGATCAAAGGCAGGATAAGAATATCTGACACATCCCTGATTCCACCACCCTCCCTCTGTGAGGTCCCTAACTAGTGAGATGGCAAACAGTCTCTGCTGCTGTGGACAGGACTGGGCTGACCCTGGGAGCTGTGCATACACAGACTGGGAGCAGGAGTGAGATGGGGTTAGGCCTCTTCCTGCTGCCCGGATAAAGTGGGACTTCTGCCTGCTGAGACCCCTCTGTGCACTCAGCACCCGTCCTGCCCCTGCAGACCTTCCTGCCTCTGAAGTGGATGGCCCCAGAGAGCATCTTCAACAGCCTCTACACCACCCTGAGTGACGTGTGGTCCTTTGGGATCCTACTCTGGGAGATCTTCACACTGGGTACAGTGCTTCTGCCCCAAGCCTTCAGCCGGGGGTCCACCCTCCAGTTCCTACCTTTAGCCTGTGGAACTGTGGAACAGGTGCTGGGAAATGGGTCAGGGACTCGGGCAAGTCCCAGCTCTGCTACTTTCTCTCTACTCTGTGAGTTTTGCAAGTCCCTTGCCCTCTCTGGGTCTCTTTATGTCCTTCTCTGAGTATTGAGGAGTTTAGACAGTGACATCAAAAAAGTCTGCTTGGCTCTGGTGTTCTCTGATTGTTCTGGAGAGTGTTGCTGTCTCTGTCCAGAGCCAGGAAGGAGTCCACATTTCCCAGTGCCAAGGGCACTGCTCCGTCACCCCCCTCCCAGGACAAGTACACCTCTTCCTGTCCTGTAGCAGGACACTTTTCCACACCCTTGAGCCTATGTATCCCTGTCTCTGCTCCCCAACAGGTGGCACCCCTTACCCAGAGCTGCCCATGAATGAGCAGTTCTACAACGCCATCAAGCGTGGTTACCGCATGGCCCAGCCTGCACACGCCTCTGACGAGATGTGAGTAGAACCTCTGCATTTGGAAGGATTTCGTGGGTGCAAACAACGGACCGGCAGCCCTACCAGCTTACATCACAGGCAGAATTTATTAGCTCAGAGATCTAGAAGAGTTCTAGATAGAACCAGATCTAGGTGTTCAAATGGTTCACCAGGAATCTCCTGTCCTAGCCCTGGTCCTCTGCTTTCTCTGTGCTGGCCTCATTTTCAGGCTGGCACTGCCCTCAGTGCCTGCCTTACAGCTTCCAGTGAAACCTCAAGAGCTGACCTTCAGGGGCTTGGCTAGGGTCACATGCAATCAGAGACAGTCACTGAGCTAGGGGTGATAACTCCTGTGAGCCAAACTTGGGTCATATGCTCAGGAAGGTGTAGTGGACCCCACAGAACCACAGGGATGGGCCAAGGGGTGCTGGAAGGTCCCAAGGGAGTGGCCAGAAGCAACAACGGGAGAAGCAGTGTTACAGCCACTCCTCCCAATTCCTTTCCCTTGCTCACCTTGTCCCAAGAGACTGCCACCTCCAGCTCCCCTCCAGTCCCTATGCCCTGAGATGCAGATCCTGACTTTCTGCCCTCCTCCAGCTACGAGATCATGCAGAAGTGCTGGGAAGAGAAGTTTGAGATTCGGCCCCCCTTCTCCCAGCTGGTGCTGCTTCTCGAGAGACTGCTGGGTGAAGGTTACAAAAAGGTATGTTGAGACAGAGTGAGGGTGGAGAACAGAGAATTCTCGTCCAGAAGTTAGACCTAGGGTTCCAGACTCTGTGTGATAAGCTGGTATTTAGAGGAAATAGCCATCACACACCCTGGGCCTCAGTTTCTCTGCTGGTGCTAGGAAGGGATGGTCCAGAGCTATGGGTTTCATTTATTTTAGCAGCACAAAGCTGATTGATTTGCCACATGGAGGCGGAGGCTACAGCCTTGTCTGTCCTCAGACACCCCCACCCGCACCCCAACACTAGGTATTGAACCCAAAGCATTTAACCCACACCCCTAGCCAGTTTGTTTGTATTTTTTTTTGAGATAGAGCCTCCAGCTTATTTTGCCTAGGTTGGCCTCAAATTTGAGATCCTCCACTTCCAGAAGAGCTGGGATTACAGGTGTGTGCTACTACACCCAGCTTTGTCCTCAGACTTTGCACCCATGCCAACTTCTAGGGCTTCTTTGAAAGTGTGAGCAACCTCAGGCTACATGACCTCTAACACCCTACCCCTTGGACCCTATCCAGGCTCATGCAAAGCCAATAAAGCCAGCAGTGCCTTAAACCCTTGCCCTGCCTAATGATAGGCGGCAGATCAGGAGCCGCACCTGCCCTCGGCACAGGCATAGCTTTGTCCATACCTCCACTTCTCAGCGCCTCCCACTCTGGGGTGGTCCTGGGAAGAGTGAGACAGAATAGAATCATCACTATCCCAAAGTAAGGGACCCTGAGGCCTCACCAGAGGAGTGAGGCAGGATAAGAGCTGGTACTTGACTTGTCTGAAGTTGGGCAAGAGATATATGGTGCTAGTCTGCTAACTACCCCTGCCTGGGGCATCCTCTTAGAAGATGTAGCAGGACAGCAGTTCAGCTGTGTGGCTTTGGGTGAAACCTCTTCCTCTCTGAGCACTGGCTGCCTAATTTACAGAGCGGGAGGGGGCGGGTTAGCCAATCCCTAAGGTACTTCCCGCCTGACCGTTATGTTTCTCTGGCGCTCCCTGCTCTGTGGAGCAGAAGTATCAGCAGGTGGATGAGGAGTTCCTGAGAAGTGACCATCCAGCCATCCTTCGGTCCCAAGCCCGCTTTCCCGGGTTCCACGGCCTCCGATCTCCCCTGGACACCAGCTCTGTCCTCTACACTATTGTGCAACCCAATGAGGGTGACAACGACTATATCATCCCCTTGCCTGACCCCAAACCCGAGGTTGCTGATGAAGGTCCACTGGAGGGTTCCCCCAGCCTTGCCAGGTAGCCACCCTGCCTGGGGCGCTGGGCATGACAGTGATAGCGCATGTCTGTGTGTTGGGCTTGAGCTGGAATGAGGACTTACTCTTGCCAGTAGGTAGAAGAGAGAATGTAGTTTCTTAGGTCTTTGAAGCCCTTGGGTGGGAAGGCTAGGCCGGTAAGAAAAAGGATGGGCCACATAGTTCTTCCTTTTAAAGGAGTTCCAGAGGCTGTCTATACTCTCCCCACCCTAGGTTCTGCCCTGGTCCCAAGGAGAAGAAGGAAGCCTACTTAGCATCTCTGCCTATCCAGTTGTTACTGTGGGTCACTGCCAGCCTTGGGCCTGTGCTCCTTCCTTGTCACTTTGCCCAGAGGGCCCCGGGAAGCCTGGCTGCAGGAGACAGGTGCCACGAGTTCAGTCCAGAACCCAGACTGGAAAGAGACTAATGATGTCCTTTTGCCTTGGGGTGTGGTGGAGTTGCAGTGTGTAGAGAGAGGAGGCCCAGCTAGTGCCTGAACTTGATGTTCAGACAGGCCCTCCCCTCAGCTGGAGAGTGGGGCTCCCCTGAGGTCACATCCACCCCCAAAACGTGATCTAGCCAAAGGTTAAGTGGCAGAAGCCCCAGGCTGGATTCACTCCACCTCACCAATGTGAGACCCTGGTAGGTTTCACCTCTGTGAGCCTCAGTTTCTCCCCATGGGCTAGTAGCATACATAGCCCTCACCAGGCCCCAAAGACCTCCTTTGTCCTGACTGTGGATGAGGCTAACATAAAAGTTCAAGCAGCTGTGAGTGAGTGCTAGCCCTGTTGGTGCCCTCAGGCAAGCCACTTTAGCTCTCTGAACCTCGGTTTCCTCTTCTGTAAAGTGAAATCAGTGGAAGTACTTCTGTTAGGGGCTTGGTGTGAGATTAAGAGATCATGTATCTCAGAAAACAGAGATGGAGAAGCTGGAGGGTAAGAAATGAACTTTGGGCCTGCTCTCAAGTCTAGCTCCTCCTGTGCAATGTGGAGTAATGACTTAAACTCTCTGAGCTGCACTTTCTTCCTGGTGCAGGGCCTGCAGACTTTGCAAGGATTAAGTGAGTGGAAGTGTATGAAGTCAGACCCAGAAAGCTCTTACTTCATGCTGTTACTATTTTACTGTGGTTCCTCCAGCCCCTCACTTACTTGCCTCCTTCCTCTAGCTCCACCCTGAATGAAGTCAACACCTCCTCAACTATCTCCTGTGACAGTCCCCTGGATCCCCAAGATGAACCAGAGCAAGAACCCCAGGCTGAGCCCCAGGTGGAGCCTGTACTGGAGCTGGAGCAGCCGCTAGATTCTGGCTGCCCTGGGCTTCGAGCCGAAGTGGAGGACAGCTTTCTGTAGGGGTTAGCCCCACCCTTCCCTGCCCAAAGCCCCCTTCTGCTTCCCAGCACCCAGCCCCTCCTGGCCCGGCCTGACCTCTCCTCACCAGCCACACTGCCTTCCCTTGAGAAAGGCTTCTGCCCCTGACATGCGGTACCCCAAACCTTGGGGCCAGCTTAGGAGGCAGAGAACTACAGGGTCCAAGGCCAGCCTCTGCCTGAGGGGAGGCCATGTGACTCTGAGCCACAGTGCCACCCCCAGAGGACTCAGTTTCCCCTACATTTGTAGGATGAGAAGTTGGGCTTGGTAACCCACAATCTGGGATTCTGCCTGGCTGGCAGGTGGGGAAGGAAGAATTCCTGGGGCGATCCTTGTGAGAATGAGGTGGTAAGTTAATGTCTTTCCAGTCAGCCTGCTGCCCCTCAAAGAGCTGCAGCTATATCCCCACTACTTTGATTGGCCCAAGAGCTGGGAAGGGACCCTGGTATCCCTGGCTCCTAGCTGAGCTGGGCTAGCCTTGGACTGTCACTTTGTCCAGAAACTGCCTCCCCCTGGTGCCAGTCTCTGCTTTCGCAGGCCCAAGCTGGTCTGGGGCCAACCATGCTTAATTAACCTTGCTAATTAGTGCTGAGGGCTGAGCCAAGTACAGGACACCCCAGCATAGGGCACTCCTGGCCATAGGAAATGGCTGTGTCTTTCAGGTCCTGTCATTGCTGGGGCCTTCTCTTCATCATCCTCAGTCTTAATCTGCCCACTGGGCCCTACATCTGTGACCACTGGGTTTACATGGCAGCAGGAAGTGTGCACCTATAGATGGTCCCGACCTGCATTAGACCTGCTGCGAGACCTTGAAGGAGTCCTCATCCTCTCTGGGCCTCAGTTTCCCCCCTTTGAAAAATAAGCAAGTTGGACTCATTAACTCTGAGTGCCCTGCCAACACTAATATTCTAGAATATTGCAGGGGTTGCACACTTACACAGATGGAGCAAGGCCAAGCCCCCTAAATCACCTTCTCGGAGCTCAGCTGGGTTATGGGGAGATTTCAGACCCACGTCGCACTCTGGGGATTCAGGAATGTGTCCCTGCTCAGGCTCCAAACGCAGCTGCCTGGACTTGACTTGGAGTGGCAGCCGGTGTCTTGGAAAGCCCCCAGCAGCTGCCCTAGGGCATGGGAGGACCCCAAGACCCCTTTCAGCACCACAGTGAACTCTGCAGCTCTCCTGGGCAAGCACAGAGAGGGCAAGTCAGATCACCTCATGCAGCCTACCATGCCAGCACCTGCCTTGGAGGTATGTGCCACAGATGCAATGGACGGTGAGGACAGTCATGTCCCGTAAAGGACAAGGCTTGGGATGGGCACCCCAAGGTAGAAGTATAAGAGGTAGACACTTTGGAGTCATCATCTCAACTGCCAAATGCCCCATCCCCAAGATAGCACCCTATGGGGATATGGTTTTGTCACTTCCCAGGTCTGGCAATGACATCTAATTGTCCTTAAAGCAGTGGGGTGTTGGAGTGAGTGAGGCCTGCAGCTGAAACCTTGGGTTGGAAAGAGGAGGAAAGGAATACAGCTCTTCTTGGCACCCATCCTCTGCTGGCTGGCACTGCCCTGCCCAGGGACCCTGGCAGGGAGCAAGAATGGGTTTTTACTACGGTACCAAAGATATAAATCACTAGGTTTACAAGTATTTTTAGGACTCACATTAACTCACATTTATACATCAGAAGTGCTATTTTGTATGCCGTTAAGTTTTCCTATCTGTGTACTTTTTTTTAAGGAAAGATTTTAATATTAAACTTGGTGCTTCTCACTTACAGACTCTGTGGTCTTTCTTGGGTTTGGGTCCCTGTGCTCACAGTCAGTGGGTGTGGAGTGGGGCAGATAGAACTTGTCTCAGATACAGTTTCCTTTAGTGCTGAGTCTCATTTCCCTCACCTGTAAAAGGAATTTTCACTTTCTTCCTCTTGCTAATGGCCAGGTGACCTAGACCTTGGGTTTGGTTTCCCAGGTGTGAGATGAGAAGACTTTTTCTGGCTTTTCTGGGTATACAGTGCCTGACCTCAAGTTGGCAGGACCATGTGAGCTGGCAGGAATTTCAGAGGCTCTGGTGCTGGGGAACTGAGCCCCTCCTGCTGCCCCCACCACTCTGCCATGTGCCCTGGCTTTGGCGACTAAACTGGGACACCCTCCCTGCTCTCCTCTCCACTCTGCTTACAGCTATCCCAAGGCTGGGGTGACTTGTAGGAGGTGTTCGCCAGAGCCCGGGTTCCAGGTCCAGGTGAGAAAACTCTGGTACCAAGATAGCAGCAGGGCAGACAGAACACCCAAGGGCATCAGAGAACAAGAAGTGAGGAGAAAGGATGGAGGAAAGAGAAGAGGAGTAGTAACAGAAGAAGGGCAGGAAAGTGTGGCTGAATAGGGCCAAGGGAGGGAATGGGGGCCAGGCTGCAGCTGTGAGGACAGAGGCCTGCAGACCCTCATTCCTGCAGCTGTTCAGAGTTTGTGGGGCTGGCACAAAGTGGGTATCCTAGCCCCTGCTAGACAGCTGGGTCCTGGTCATAGGCTCCTCTGCCAAGCATAGGCCTGTCGGATAGGCAGCAGCACAAGCCCAGGGGTGCTAGAGCTGCTGGAACAGAGGCAAAGTGCAAGAGTCCCAGACCCAGACTGTGGCTTCCTGGTCTGCCCACCTTGGGCTGTTTGGGAGGGTCACATGAGATGGATTCAGATTTTGGTCTGAGGTCTATTACTTGCTCTCTCTGAGCTGAGGGAAGGGCATCTCTGTTTGGGTGAGTGGGAAGGGCACCTCATTGTAGAGCCACAGGTCTCTGGACTATTTCCAGGAGTGTGGGGCTGTGGTTACAAGTGGGGAGAGGAACGGAGCCCTGAGACAGCTCTGACTCACAGGCCCAACCGCCAACTCAGGGACAGCTGAGCCATGCCAGGGGAACCCCAGCCGGCTGTAGGGGCTGGCTGTGTACAACCCACCTCCCAGGGGTCCTGATTTAGAGGACACTCCTAGGCTATGACCCCTCCTGTCTCATGTGGCAGGAATTGAATAAGGCAATACCCTAATCTGCCCTACAAAAAGAATGAACAACCCACATTCCAGACAGGATTGTCTTTGCTCATGGGAAAGCCTCTGGAGGTCAGGAGACCCAGCTCCTCACCTCAGCCTGCTCCCTAAGGGACTGCAGGTGGATTACACCACATCAGACCTCAGTTTCCACAAGGTGAATGGAGCTAACAAGGCCACAGAGAGAAAGACTGATAGAATGCTGGCTGCCACTTAGCCAACAGTTGCTGTGGCTGGGGCTGTCTGGCAGGACTGGGACACTTTTTCTCATTTCACCCTCTCATCAGTCCTGTGAACCTAGTACATAGTACAGCTGAGAGAGGAGATTTCAAAGTGACTTTCCCAACATCATCTGGTCAGTGTGGTAAAGCTGTATGGGATGTGAGGCCTAGTTGACTCCCAGATCAGCACTCAGGGAAGAGAAGTTCCAAGAATCTGGAAAGCCTGGGATCCAAATCTTGTTTGCTAAGGCCTTCCTGCACCACATGTCCCTACGAAAAAGAATCAGGAAGTGCTGGATGAGAGTGAAGAGCCAGGTGAATCTTGGAACCAGGTAAAAATAATAATAGCTTGGGGAAGGGTACAAGGGTCTGGGGATGACTGTAGCTTACCCTGCCAGCCTCTCCTCAAGAGCAGGCCCGAGGAAAATGGGTGAGCTGGAATTTTCCTCCCAGACAGATGAGCCATGGACTACACAGTTCTTCCACCACCGCACTCTCAGCCAGGGGTCCTTGTTCCTGGAAAAAGAGGGAAAGACTGACGGGGCTGTTGCTCCTGGAGCCTGGACCTGCAGGCTAGCATCCTTTTGAAACTGGAGTTTTGGACACCAGGCCCAAACTCCTAGGCTTCCACATGTCAGGTCTGGCCACCTGCCTCTATATGCCAAATAAAGAGGCATGATGAAGACAGAGAAAGGAGGTTTATTACACGGCTCGGGGCATGCGGTGGGAAGAGGCAGAGTGAGCACTCAGCTCATCGTCAGCCGTTCGGAGTATAGACATGAGTGATAGGTAAATAGATAAAGAATTAGGGCAGGGCAAAAAGTATGCACAGTTCACAGCCATGTTCCAGTGGCCGAATGGGGCCTGGCTGACCATTATCTCAGTCTTGCTCTTTGAAGTTGTGAAGTTCTTACCACTGTCATCACTTGAGGGGAGCGATCTGGTTCCCAAGACATGATTACTCCTGCTCCAGGGTACAGCCTCATCATTATAGGTGGTTGTCCTCATCTGGGGGAAGGGGGTGGTCTGTCCTGCAAGGCGCTGCTGTTCCTTAGGGGTAGTTTCAATCCCTTGTCAGAAAGATGTTATCCATCACTCCTGCCCTTCCTTGATTGCAAGGTGGCTGCAGGAGAGAACGGCTCAGAGCAAAGGACAACAAGAACAAAATGGAGATGGGGATGCCAAGCTTTTCTCCTGTGTTTAGTTAATTCATGGGCCCAACTAAGGAGTGAGTGCTTTTCAGCAAGAGTAATTTAAGTTCCTCTTACACCTTCTTGAATTAGGACTAGGTCTCTACAAGAGCTCTTTTTTCTGAGTTTATTGTCCAGTTTTGTAACAATTAACTAATTTCATAAAAGTGTTTAAATAATATGTACTTGCATTTTTAAGACTCCATAATCAGAACACATAATATAAAAAGGAAAAATTTTCCCTTGTGTGTTTTTGTGTTTTAGACTCTGGTAACATTCTCTTTTTTATTCAGCTAGTCTGTGTGTAGGAATTTATCTTATGGAAATTCTGCTTTTCATGGTTAACAGTTATATTTATCTAGAGCTTTCCTTCCTTATATCCATACTAATATTTATAATTTGTATGTAATCAAATTCAGAGGTATTTTAAAAACTACCACTACCATTTTACAACTTTTTGTTTTTCACTTAACAGTACAATATAGATGCATTTACAGGTCAGTGGTATAAATATATTAATCCATCCATTCTGAGAGCTGCACATAATTTAAATCATCTCTGTGCTATAAATTAGTTAACCAATCCCCAATTAATGGGCTGGGGAGTGGTTCAGTGGTGAGAGCACCTGCCTAGCAAGCATGAAGCCCTGAGTTCAAAATCCCAGTGTAGGGGGAAAAAACCCCACACCCAATTAATGAACATTTATGTTGTTTCTGTTTTTTCAATTATGAATTATGCTGCAATGACCCTGGTTTCAAAATATATTCATATTTGCACAAATAAGCATTTAAATTGTTACTGAAGCTGGATGTGGTGATGCTGTGGTGGTGTGTAATCCAAGCACTCTAGAGGCAGAGGCAGGAGGAACACAAGTTCAAGAGCAGCCTGGGCTAGATAGTGAAACAATGGGAAAAAAAAAAAAAGGAAGGAGAGAGAGAAGAAAGAAAGAGAGAGGGAGGGAGGGAGGGAGGAAGGAAGGAAGGAAGGAAAGAAGGAAGAAATAAAGAAAGAAGAGATAGAAAGAAGGAAGGAAGGAAGAAAGAAAGAAAAGAGAGAGAAAGAAAGGAAGGAAAAAAGAAAGAGGTCACTGGAGTCCTAAAGTTCCCCTTAAAATACACAAAATGGTGGTGCTTCTGGGAGGCTAAGGAAATCAAACACGAGAATGATGGAAACAACATTATTGAATTCTAGCGAGATGCTCTGGGCTTCTGGAAGAATCTGGAATCTCTCAGGTTTGTTGAAAAAGTGAGAGAAAAGAGGTCAAGAGCAAAGTACAGGCCAAACTTTCCCACCATGCACTTTCATGGTCCCTCTGACTGGACCCAGGCCCCACTAAACCACCACACCACACCTCCACACTTTAAAGAATGTGCCCGTATTTGTGCCACCCCTCCCCCGTCCTCACAGTGAACCTGGGAGAGAAGCTCTGAGCCAATCAGCCCAGGTGAGGAGCCTTCCTCAGGGACTGTCTTAGCTCATGTCCTGCCTCAGAGGAGCAGCAAGCTGAGCCTAGGATTGGGGTGCTGGCTGCCTGCTCCGAGTGTAGCTCCTAGGGTTGGGGGTTATGGGAGTGCTCTATACACTAAGGGGGTCCCAAAGCTCAGAATAAAATCTGCCATGGCAGCTGGGCACGGGTGGCTCACGCCTGTAATCCTAGCTTCTCAGGAGGCAGAGATCAGGAGGATGGTGGTTCGAAGCCAGCCTGGGCAAATAGTTGGAGCAACCCTATCTTAAAAACACCCAACACACACACACACACACACACACACACACACAAAGGGCTGATGGAGTGGCTCAAGTGGTAGAGTGCCTGCCTAGCAACTGCAAGGCCCTGAGTTCAAGCCCAAATGCCACACACACACACACACACACACACACAAACAAATCTGTCATGGCTGCCTCTGGGCCTGGTTAAGGGCAAGGACTCAGAGACATCATAGAAGCAGATGTCTCCCTGTGCCTGCCCACCCTCTTCTCCATGCCCTGTGGCGTGTCTGCACTCTCTAGCAGCTCCCTACACCCACCCCAGCGCTTCTCTTTCCTGACTGGCACAGAGCAGGCTGTCCCTGGCCAGCTCCTCCCACTTCACAGTTCCACAGTCTCTGGTTTTAGGTTTTGTGGGTAATTACCGCGAGGAACTAGAAAAGTTACAAACATGGGGAAGTAGCAAAACTTCTGGAAAATCACAGAATTCTCAGAGCCCTATTTCCCCTCTGAAGCAACAAGATGGAAGTTTTCACATCTGAAAGTTTCTCTTCTTCCTTATTGATCTATATGCAGTATAGTGATGATAGCCAGGGACAACCGCCCCTGT